CAGCCCCCCCCACCACCACCACACCCCCCCCCCTCCCCATTCTGACAACATGGTGCAGTGTGCGGAGTACAAATGAACTTTAATCCTGAATTCATTCCCGGCGTTCCTGACATCCATTCTGCTCCTGCCAGTTAAGGATGTTCGTTTATTGAAGCGTGAGCCGACGGCGCCATTTTCTACCTGCGCCCCGTGTTTGATCCTCGCTCGTACACCCAGTTAGACATAAAACAGCAGATGCCGGGTTGTGAACTCACAGAAAGATAAGGAAGGAGAGTCAGCGGGGAATCATTCACAGAAGAAGAAGAAGAAGAAACAAGGAACGCAATTAAACACGTCGAGAAACAGCAACGGAGCGCGAGTGTGTGTGTGTGAGTGTGTGTGTGTGTGAGAGTGTGAGCACACAGAAGAGAGAGGGCGAACGAGGGCCTGCTGCTGATCTTCCTCGACTCATCTCAGACTCTTCTGGAGTCCCACGTACTACACAGTACTACACAGTATCTGTGTAGTACTGCGTAGTACTCCTGTAGTACTCCTGTAGTACTCCTGTAGTACTCCTGTAGTACTCCTGTAGTACCCCTGTAGTACTCCTGTAGTAGTATGTGTTTGTAATGAAGGAGCCACTCTCACAGGATCGTCCTGGTGACCTGAGAACCGTGGAGCAGTGACGTAACCACACGACCGGAGTCTGACGAGATCCAGGAGAGAGATTAGGATTAGGAGGAAATGTGTCAACGTTAACGTGTTGTACACACACACACACACACAGAACACACACACACCTCAGAAACAGCCGGTTGTTTGTGAAAACTAGAACCGATCGACTGCAGCGAAACATCTGTCTCTTTAACACGACTCCAATTCACACACACACACACGATCAAAGGCAACAGTGTAGAGTTTGTCCCCTCCTCTCCTACACCCTGACTGTCTGTTCTGTCTGTCCTGTCTGTCCTGCCTCAGATTCTCCTCTACCGTTTGTCTCCGGTCCTTCAGCCAATCAAACACCATCCTACTTCAGACTGCTTTATTCTGTTGTTCCTTTGAAGTCGTTCTTCTTCAGGTTTTTCCATCAAAGTCTGTTCACACTACAAAGACGTTGCTGTGTAACAGTTTGGTTTCGTTTTTTTCTGCTTTCATGATTGCGTTAACATGTGTGTGTGTGTGTGTGTGTGTGTGTGTGTGGTCTCAGGGCAGTAAGAGGACGCTCTGACGGTCCATCTGTGCAGCCTCCTCTTCCTCCCTCTGCTCCTCAGTGACTGGGACACTGGAAAAAAAGAAAGAAAATCATGACAGAAGTGTCACCACTGAACAGCAGCTTCAGTCCAACACCGTCCTGGGATTAGGATTAGGATTAGGATTAGGATTAGGATTGTTTTACTGTTGGTGTCAGAGCTTCAGGTTTGTGTCAACGTTGATGATGACATCATGATGACATCATGATGATGATGATGTTTCATCAACATCTAACTATATATTTACATTAATGTGGGCGGAGTCATGGACTGTGTTCACTGAGAGAATCTGAAGGTCAAAGGTCATCGGTCTGAAGCCTAAACATGTACGTGTATCAGCAACTGTGCACACACGTGACGTCGTTGTCGTCAGGATTGGGGGAGGAGGAGGGGGAGGAGGAGTCCCCATGTCCAGACACAGACCTCAGTGGTCATCAGCTGCTGAGAAAGTTGACAAAAGAAAAGTGACTGTGTTTCCTTCTTCTTCTTCTTCTTCCTCCTCCTTCTCCTCCTTCTTCTTCTTCTCTTCTTCTTCTTCTTCTTCTTCTTCTTCTTCTTCTTCTTCTTCTTCTTCTTCTTCTTCTTCTTCTTCTTCTTCTTCTTCTTCTTCTTCTTCTTCTTCTTCTTCTTCTTCTTCTTCTTCTTCTTCTTCTTCTTCTTCTTCTTCTTCTTCTTCTTCTTCTTCTTCTTCTTCTTCTTCTTCTTCTTCTTCTTCTTCTTCTTCTTCTTCTTCTTCTTCTTCTTCTTCTTCTTCTTCTTCTTCTTCTTCTTCTTCTCCTTCTTCTTCTTCTTCTTCCTCTTCTTCTTCTTCTTCTTCCTCCTGACGTTCCCACAGAGACCAGTGAGCAGCACAAATCCAATATCATCCACTCTCACAGCTAAACTGCTGCCGCCGCAGACTGAAAGACGTCTGGTAAAACGACTACAGCACCTCTGTGGGAATACGGTGGTGGAGGAGAGAATCAAAGTGGAGTCACCCTGGAACAGTCAGACTGGAGTAAAGGAGCAGCCCGTGCTTTTCACCACTGACTACAAGTCAGAGGGCCCCCTGGTGGTACAGAGCTCTCTCCAGACTGAGTGAAGCTCAGACCAGACTGGGGACCAAGGACCAAGTCTGGGGACGGTCTCTAATATCCAGTCTACAGTGACACAGTCACTCTCAGGCGCTGTAACTCACCCACTGCACCTCAGTACCGATTTTTTCTGCTAGTTATTGAACATCATCTCTTTTTGATATTTTTACCAGATTATTAGTAACCAAATAATTT